CCTCGTCCCGGTCCCAATATGATTCCGACGCACCCTACATATACGGAACCTTGTAACTGTTGACAACCCTACGTGTTCCACTCTTTACGAACATTTTTTTTCCACCGGTCCCCGTGTATTTGCGCGAACGGTCGGGGGTTTTTCGATTTTTACCTCAGATCAAATACACAGGAAAATTTATTTTGGCACTCAGCACTTTTCCGAGAACACACACCTATGGGTGTAACCTCTCGGATTCCGATATCCAATAACCGGGCCAACCGGCGCGATAAGATTTACTTTCTCTCATTTTATAACCAAATTTGTTTTACCGACTTTGCACCCCGCGCGAATTTTGCTCTTTTAAACTATTCGAAAAGAATCCCGTCTTCTGCGACTTTAATTAAAGCAAATCCAATCGGAGCCCTCGAAGTTTACCTTCTTTACCTACAGCTTCTCCCTGCTCGTTTTCCGTCCTCCTCGTTCGCGGGTCCCAATCGTCCTCTATATCATTCGAATTTAATTTTAATAAAGGTGGGGGTGGCGGCTCCCGAAATGGAGCACATCCCGTTTATGTCCGACTAGTAGCTGTAAAACACCCGACGGAGTCAGATTCAACCCTCGGTTAAGAAATGCGCAGCAATTTAAGTCCTATTCCTCTTCCCTTTGGTGACTTTAATCGACCTTAGACTTCAGACCAAGGGTGGAGATAACTAACCCCGCGACTATGCAACATCAACTCCTCCCGAACACCACCAAAATTCCGACAATTCCGCAATTTTACACTCCGCTTAAACCTTTAATAACTTTTTGCATTTTTCCCTTGGCAGATCATTTTTGAGAGAACCATTCGAATTGAGAAAAATGTAAGACGTTTTTTTTCCGCGGAGGGATCGCGGTTAATTTACGAAGTGCTCTTAATAATTAAACGATAAACAAAAAATCTTGCGAAGAAGGCGTAAACGTTAAGGAAGCAACTTCACCCGGTTTATTAAATCGCCGACTCCCCGTCATATCCGTCATTTACTCCTGAGCACCTTCTCAGCAATCCTTCTGCCTCGTTTTCATTCTTTTGTGGTTCCGTACTCCTCGGATGGCCGTCGTCTTATACACCTATAATTAAAGCGACCCCCTAATATATCGTATATATTTACGGCATCAAAAGGATTCACTCCCAACATCTTTCGGCTTTGATAAAAACCCTGTGCGACCAGTACTTCTCGTCTTTCAAAAGAAATTTTAATGTTTTTAATCCATTAGTAGCACGCTATTTTTTGTTAATCTCATAAAAGTATACTACACGCCTCGCCTTAGTTCGTGTTGATTTTCTATGGAAAACCAACAAACTTTTCTTTTTGTGTGCCTTTTTTTATTGCATGTACTCTTTTATGTCAATCATTATTGATTGTTTTAACTACCGAGCGATATAAAGCGATATAAATAAAAATTTCATTCATTTCAATAGAAATCAAACGTTACATTTTATTATATTCTCTTCACATTGAAAACATTATTTAACTTTATTTCCCTATGAACAGTATGGTTTATATTTGAATACTAGAGTTTTTGGAAATATTCTGAAAATCCAAAAATTAATCCAGGCAATACTTGGAAATACACTAACAAATGCTGAAAATACCTCAAAAACTTTAAGTATCCAGAGATATCTTTAAAAACCATAAGAATTCTGAAGTTTCCTTGAAAATTCTTGAAAATCCTTCAAACGCTATGGAACTGATTGGAAAATCACTGGATATCGCCTTGAAAATCTTGGAAATGCTTTGAACACCTAAAATTATTAATATAAATCCCAGAAATCTTTGAGAAATTTTTTGTATGCGAAAATTCTTGAAATTTTAGATGTATCTCTAATAAATACCATAAATATCGTCTTTGATAAACAGCTTCCTTGAAGATTTGTAATTATTAGAATAAATTCTTTAAAATTCGTGGACATCTTTGGAAATTTCCCAGAAATTCTTGAAAAAACGCTGAAAGTGCTTGTAAACCTATGTCCAACATCAATAAATACTGGGGTAGTCCACGAAAAATCTGCTAAAGTGCTTAAACCTTTAATAATCGTTCCAATGGTCAAACCTGGTTCATTTTCATGAACGTGGAAGTATACTGATAACTTTCCAGAAATTCTTGAACATCGGACTTTGATGTACTAATATTACAAATTATATACAGGGTGTCACACAAAAAACGCCCCAACCTGTAACTCTGTTATTTACATTCCGATTTTCATCACCCAGATATGAAATAAAATGGTTTTATAAATACTATGATTCATGCTACAAATAAATTTTTTACAACGTCATCTTCAATTTCAAGTAATTACTAACTTTTGTTTTTCAAATTGCTGCGTATATTTTTTTTCACGCTATTGGGTAAAGATTCCTTTTCTGAGTCCATTGATGTACAATACATGAACATTAATTGTAATTGTAGTATAGAAAAACATTAAAATAGTTTCCTAACATTCTCTTAAAGTTACTTGCGTTATACTGTAGTGTGCCATGGGAAAAAAAATAAAAAAACAACTTATAAGTATCATTTACAACTGCTTCGGGCATTGAAATCAGTTTGCGCGTTCTTTCTTCCATGGCACACAGTATTACAGAAGTGACTAAGACCATGTTCGGAAAATGTTTTAATTGTTTTCCTCTGCTAAAATTACAATTAATGTTAATGTATTGTACATCATTGGGTTCAGAAAAAAAATCTCTATACAATAACGTGTAGAAAAACATACCGAGCAGTTTGAAAATCAAAAGTTGATAATCGCATGAAATTAAAGATAGCGCGGAAAAATTTATTTGTAGCATGAATCATAGTATTCATCAAACCATTTCATTTGATACCTCGATCATTAAAATCAGAAGGTAAATGACAAAGTTACAGCTTGAGGCGTCTTTTCTTTGCTAAAATTACTTTCAAAATGGATGTATTGTATATCAATGGATTCAGAAAAACAATCTCCATCCAATGACGTGAAGAAAAATATATGGAGCAATTTGAAAAAGAAAAGTTAATAATCGTTTAAAATTGAAGATGGTCTTGGAAAAAATTTATTTGTAGCATGCATCATAGTATTCATCAAACCATTTCATTTGTTACCTCACTCATGAAAATCGGACTGTAAATGACAGAGTTACAGCTTGAGGCGTTTTTTGTGTGACACCCTGTATATGTATAATGAATTTTCTAAAAAAAATTAATTATTATTTATTTTTGAATAGTTGGTAAAGAGATGTAAATTGGAAGAGTGTAAAACAGGATTGGGATGAAGCGGTAGTTGTAAAATGTTGGAATATGTGACCTTGACACGTGACGTTACAAACAACTATACCATGAATGTAAAGCGTACGAGGTAATAGAATCCTTAAATTTTAGGAAGCTACCGGGCGTACATTTACCGGAATGGCGTGGGTACATTATAATTTAGATTCGGTGATGATAGCACGCACAGTGGAGGGCGTAATCAGTTATGACCGTGTAAGTGGTGTTTAGTTTTGGGGTTGCCATGCTCGCGAAAGGTAATTGTAACGCTGCAGTGTTATTTAATTGTAGAAACGGTCGGAGCTATGCGACTGTTTTATCGCTAGTATAAATTTCGTTGATTAAAAATTGCAGAATGGTATTTTAATTACACGTTGAATTAAGGCCGTAAAGCAGACAATAATTGTATGTGCATAATATTAATATTTAACAAGTTAAGGAGTACTTCCGGGCCAACTTCCCACTAAAAAGTTAAAACTAATTATTCAACTCTCTTTGCGTCCTGCGTCACCGAACCTGTTCCGGCCATTTAGGTTGGTACGAAATCGTCGTTATGTGTGCTCGCGAAAAAATACTGGCCGCGGGGACTCGGTGGAAAAGTAATTTGCGTTAACTCCGCCGGATCATCGTCGAATGAATCTAAAGCTTTTGCCTGCATCGAGGCTAAAATAACACCCTAATATGGGGAAGATGTAAACAAAACGCGAACCGGCTACCCATTGATGTTTCTGTAATGGCGTGCGAATAGCGGGGATTATACCTTTTAATCTTCCTATTTCAGATCATACGCTGAAGTCTCTTTATTGGTTTTTCTATTTATTTGTATGCAATACATTTGAATACATATTATCATAAAAAGGTTAAAAAATAGTAGATGATTTAGTATCATTATAAAAAATGAACAGTCAAAATGATTAATGGAAAGAAAATATACTACAAAAGGAAGAAAATAACAGAAAAACATATGTCAAGTGGAGTAACATTTAGAGGCACGAAGAGCTGGTCGATTTAGCATCCCCAATAAATAAATGTCGTGTGTAACGGTGTTGCGGGGTGTATTGAGGGTCGATTAATATTAATTGTCGCCGACAAGTCGATTGTGCGGCGATGTCCGAATTTATGTCAATATTAAATTTGAACGTGTAAAATCATAACATTTGTTGATATTAAAAGCGCTATTATGCAATTACGCGCAGTGACGCAAATCAAATATCTGGTTTTGCTATAATTTAACTTATTTAGTAAGCCCCGTGAATTATCGGCAAACAATTACGTAGATTCGAGTTTTGTGCGTGGTAATGCGTAGGGGGTGGGCATTCATGGTGCGTACAAAACGCGGTTTTGAATTAACCAAACTAAACTAAAAGGTACCTCTCCTTCTCCCACCCCTTTCCCAAAAGCTTGGGGAGAACGTGCGGTGACATCCCTCTACTACCCACTTTTCTCCCCCGTCGACTGAAACGCTTGCTCTTGGAGTTGCCCGATTGTAAATGCATTTGATTTATTATACACACATATTTTAAAAAGGATCCCTCTTGAATATACAAGAGCTAAAGGTCTTTGCGGTGGTCGTGGGGGTGGCTGTGGAGGACGCGAGAGTTATCTTTAAGCATCCTAATACGCGCGAGTCACATCGAAACTCGTCGACATTCCGTTATTCAGTATTCCGTTTGAAGAAGCCGATAAGGCGACGAAAAAGTAAGCGGAAATGGCACTCAGGCCTTTATTTGTTACAGGGATATGGAAGCTACCGGACCAGCCGACGGCTGAGTCCGCCACGATGGGTTCTGGTACACCGCTTTCTTCCGTAACGGTCTTTCTTTTCGAGTGTGCCCTTCTCGTTTTCGCGCAATTCTTTGGTAAGTACTCGCCTATCGCTGATAGCCCAACTTACAAACTGCTTTAATGTCTCCCTATACAACACAATACACATCCCAGTACTACCTTTTACACTTTAGATCGTTCTCACTTTCTCCTCTATACCCCAGAAGGTGTAAAGAGAAAGTTTTGGAATACCAACTGGAGCAAACACTATATTATTTTTTCTAAATTTAATTAATTAATAATTAATGCTTATTTATATATATTTTTATAATAATTTTCCAATTTGATAAAAGTTTTTGTGTAAAATATGAAACTTCTCCTGTAATTCAAGTAGATGGCGTGCTAATCAGCAAACAATTGTTGTATTATGGGTAGTGTGTTAACTGCCACGTAATACACGCTACCACGTCGAACTACAGTATTGATGTCACGTCATACACATGTAAGTGAGTAACTGTTATTGGGCGTTCATTGTTGTTGACATTCACTAGCCGACGTCACAGTATTAATTCCGAGCAATGCTGGGTGAGAAAGATGAAAGGAATAAAGGAAGCGAGAGTTGTTTAGGTCGATAAAACAGGTTGTTTATAAAAATAATTGGCATAACGTGGTCGGCGGTCACCGAGCAATGGATAATTACGGGGCTTGGATATTTGTAATTAAAGTAAACAGGTTGTTGTGTTGAAATATTAAAGTGCCGCTAGTGTTTGAAATGTTGCTTCTGTTTACCGTAAATATTAAACGCTGTACAAAGGTTTTAATTAATGAAATAACTCGTGGCGAAGAAGATCCATCAATTAACTTTGTATATGTTGCACACGCGCCCCGGACCTCACCCCCATCTCCTCTCTACAGAGCTACAGTCAAGCGTCATGGCTTTGTCCAGAATTTCTAAATGGAACGCTAATGTCAACATCCCTTCCGAGCCGCCGCGCTTTAAAATTTTGCCGTGTTGTTTGCAGGGCGATATTGTCCCGAAACTAATTTTAGAAATTACGAATTTGCGGGTCACTTTGAATTTCCGGAATTCCGGATTCGAACAACCTTAAATCGATTTGAATATTGATATTATTAAAATTTTTATGAAAGTGAGAAGAGATTCTGGGATGTGATGGGATGGAAAATCTGTCATCTTAAATGCTATAAAGAGTTTGAGAGCGAAGGGAACAAGTTTATTCTTGTACATCCTCAAATTTCGCATAAAATCACGTAGAAGTAAATTTTTCGAGGAGATGGGGTGAAATAGAAGGGGTGAGTTTAATTTCTAGAAAGAGGTGGCGTTTAAACTTGGGGGTGTTGTACAGACAATCTTAAAACTGTTGCTGGAGGTTGTAATTTAAGGTGTAGGGAACGTAAGGGATAGTTTTTGGTTTGTAGTGTGACTCGAAGCTTTGGGAGTCGGTAGTCAGCAAGGAGAAGTGGGGGATGGCCGGGAGCGGGCTCGTCACCCTGAATAATTAACTAACCGCCCCGGAATCACAATTTTGGTACGTGTTCGGCATGGTAACGTTCTTGGTAGCTAACAATATACTTTATTAACGGGGTTAGATTGGCTATCAACCGGCTTATGATCGTCGTAGGGCGCGGGACAATCTATAGTTCCGGGCGGCCGGAAAGTGGGGAACGATTTTCGGGGGAGGCAGCTTACCGCTTCCCGTATCACCCGCGTTCGCTAGTAGACCGTACGTTGCCTCTACATGCCGCTTTGCACAAATGCATTATACAATAATTAAATTCCATTACAGTCGCATTTGTATTGCGTGCGGTTTGTATAGTGTGACGTACCCCCCGTTAAATTGCATCCCATACACCTATATTACAATCCCACATACTCATAATTTTATTACTGCGACCGGGTCTGTCCCTCGGCACCCCTCCGCGACCCACAGTGGATCGCGAGGGACCGCGAAAGCTTCGCTACAATGACGTCCCGAAGAATCTCAATAACCACTTCCCATCCCGCTATTTTATCGTCGCCCCGTTCTGCCACTTTAATTCCAAAACATTCCGATACCGACCTCTGCCGCCCCTTCAACCGCGCCGCGGCCGTTTGCTTTCCTCGATTTACCATCGTTTTCAAAACGTTTTACACAAAACCTTAACCGTAAATAATTGTCTAACATTTCTTTTCGTTTCATCCTGCGCTGTTGTATAGCCAATGAACTTTAGGGAATTTGATATTTAAAAGGGAACGTAGGGGTTGATGTTTTGAAATAAAAGTAGAGTTTTTTCGGGAATGGAGGTACGAGTGAATGTGATAGGATGGTTGACTTGGATGGTTCGACACGTATGGATGTTCGATGGGAGTGTATATAGGGAAAATCGATCCATTAGGGTTTAAAAAGGTACGCGTGGAATTCGAGTTGCAGGGAGGAGCATTTAAAAGTGCCGGTAATGGAAGTAGTAATTAAAGTGAGGTTTGAACCGAAGAATGCGAGGTAAGGATTTGCGATGTTGTAGGAATTCGTATTAATAGAATTAATTGTTTTAAAAGTCGAGATATATCATTGGCGGTGGCGAGTTTTTCGCGCCCCAGGGAGGGTTTTGTTATCGTCTTGAATAATAACGTTCGATCTTGGGCATTCCTCGGGGCCCAAACGAGAGAACGGCCGAACGTATCGTCTAGAGTATTGCTCGATGGACGTGGAGAGATGGCCGGGCAGGAATGAATCGCGCGGAAAAATTGTCGTAGTCGCTATAATCTCAAAGGGTTTGTGACGCGTGGGACGTCCCGGTCCCAGATCATGTTTTTGCATCCAATTCCGGACGATACGCGACTCCTAGGAACATTTGTCAGACTCGACGCCCGAAGTCAATACGTCATAGTGGCAATGGCACCCCTAGCGCCAATCATTCGCACTGTACGAAATTGAAAACGCGTGAGTCACGTCTGCAATAAAGTGTAGGAAGGCGGCCATGCGTCTTCTGCGTTTATCACATCGTCCACTATCTTTGACCAGAATAGAGATTCTTTTTTCTTTTTCTGTTACCCTCTCTAGTACACGTGCTTGCTTTCTTCTTACCACGCCTTCTTCCGTTTACGGACACCTTACTTCTTGACTAGCGTTAAATTCGAGATGAAGTTTCGCTCGTTATTGACGATGCTGAGACAAAAAAAAAAGGAACACAACGCCAACTCGGTATTTGTCTTATTACTTTCCTTTTTTTTAAGAAAAATTGGACTATACCACGAGCTGAATACAAATGACCTAAAATATCTGTTACTCCTTAAAGTCGGAAGTTATTTACATAATTGTGGCGTCAGTAATTGTTTACAAAGTCGACGGGTGGAGCGTCCCGGTCGTGACGGATGGAATTAACGGGGGAAAGAAAAGTGTATTACGGATAATTGTCGTGAAAGGATGAGATGGGGGTATCAGGCGCCAGACCAAATGGATTAGGGACATAAAAGTGGTAGGTAATGGTAATTAAAGCCGGTATGGCAGCACGTGTGTATCTTAGCCGGCACACAATAACTTGAAACGGAGTAAAAAGCAATTCTGCTAAAACCCCAGGGTGCATCATCGCGCGGTTCTCTACGACAATGCTCATGAGTTCAGTTCTAATTGCTGAAGGGGCGGCGTCGGCGAACGCAATGCAGCCCACGTAAAACGCATAGTCGCGGCCTGTTATTGTATGCTTTATGCATAACGGAAAGTAGTTCTTCTCCGCCCCTCCTCGTTCGTCGAGTACGCGCCGCAAAACTCTTTCTGAATGCCTCCAAAGCGAAAAATACACTTCCTCCAACCGATACTCCCGCATCACTTTATCTTTTTCTAGGCGAAGGAAATACTTTTCTAAATAACTTCCAACATTGTCTTCTTCTCCCCTACTTTAATTACGATGCATTTCAATTCCACCATCGCATATATCAATGTCTCAGAACCTTAGTTTACCTTTGTTAGTAATCTAAATTATTGTTGTAACTTATGCGGTATGGGTAATATTTGAGTAAAACACTTTGTTCTTCGTTAGGGTGAAATTCCGCACGAGAGGTGAGAGAAATGTAGGGAAGGTAAGAGGTGAAGGTGAAGGAAGTGGAGTGTCTGTTGGTATTTTCGCTTTGTCGTGACGTTGGACGTACCGCCGCTGTCGCCCGCGGTAGTGAGACAACATCGATATTATAATTTGTCGCTGTTTTCGGAAGGCTCCTGAAAACTTAGACGCGAAAAGTTTTACCTCGGCCCTACATTACTCAAGCGACGCGTCCTGCCGGCCTAAGAGGAAAAGTTTGTTTAATTTTGTTTGGTTTGACGTTAAGCTTGCTTCCTGTCACTTTCATCCCGGTAGACGAAGCAACCGTTAAGCGCCGTGTTGTTCCGAACAATATTTGCTTTTAATCTTATATTGAAGTTTATGCATAGTTACGTGCCGGCTTCCCCTACTTTAAATCGTGTAGGAGGCGCAAAAAATAAAAAGCGTCGAGGAGAGGGGAAAGTGAAAAGGAAGTGTTCTTTCGATGCGACACTTTCCCGAACAACAATAAATAAAAGTTTTATTTATTTATTCATTAAAGTGCGAAATTTATCGTTCCGTTCAAGTGTCGAGTTGTGCGTCAAATAAATCCAGTATTATCGGGTGGACTTTTATTGGCGGGGTTGTTTTTTCACCCTTCGTCCGGCGTCAGGATGCGCCCGGATGAGATATGGTGGGTCTTATGGGGTGGCAGAGGGATGTGCCAGATGCCACTCGCAGATGTAGATTTAGTGTCCTCTACCGTCGGGTCCAGAAACATGGTTGCATAGCTGGCCACCAATAATAATAATAAGCGCATCCCCTTAGCTAAATTCACCCACCCTCCACAGCCACATTTGCATATCGCCCAGAAAAATCGAAAATGATTACGAAAATAGACCGGTATTGAAATAATAATAAGACTCGAAAATTGTATTAAGATAAATAATTATCGAGTTATGGTTCGGGTCAACGTCGCGTCGAGCCGCCATCCCGACACGATCGATTTAAACAATTTCCTCACCCGATCCGCTGCAATATCGTTGAATAGCCGAATCTATCATCAGACCGTCAACGTTCAATAATCTCCCTACCGATGACAACGACCTACAGCTGACCCGTCATCGACATTTAAACGTTTTACACGTAACACGTTACAATGCTTTTTTCAACCATTTGGTGAACACCCGTGTAAACGGAATACGCGAACACTGTATGCGTAAATAATAAATCCGAATACGAGCGTACGCAGTGAATGAATTACTCAATTGATTGGCCAATCAATTATCGACGAGTCACCGCGAATGAACGATGAAGAACCTTTAATGAATGGAATCGTTCTCACTGAATTCCGTCCGTTATCCACTATTTAATCAACTAACACAAACACTTGTTATCACATATTTATTCGTGGGGAATGATACGAAATACACTAAATAAAGCAAATATATTCTTACTATACTCTTATCATTCAAATTTTATTCATATATTATATAAATAAGAGAAATTAGAGAAAAGCATAACAATGCACTCAAAAGTTATCGAAGAAAAAACTTGCTAACCAGGTTTCGAGTTGCAGTTAGATTAGAACACCATATCACTTTGAAATCGTTATCATTTGAGCTTTATTTTAAGGTATGAATCATGAAAAGATTCCACTGCACTCAAAAGTTATCGCAGGGAGAGACCTCCATACAGATCTGGCTCAATTCACACATGTTTCATATAACTTGACTTATGATATCACTTGGATTAGAACACCATATCACTTTGAAATCGTTATCATTTGAGCTTCATTTTAAGGTATGAATCATGAAAATATTCCACTGCACTCAAAAGCCATCGAAGGGAGAGACCTCCATAGCGATCTAATTTTTGATAAACTAGATTTGGAGTTTCATTTGGATTAGAACCCCTTATAACTTTCGATACGCTATCATATGAGCTTCATTTTAAGATATAAATCAAGTATATCTCCCCTTGCATTCAAAAGTTATCGAAGGGAGAGACCTCCATACAACTTTGGCTCTATTTATATTTGTTTGAAATAACTACGCTTGGTGCTAATTTTTCTTGGAACGTCATTTAATTTTAGAATCGTTATCATTTAAGCTTCATTATAAGGTATGAATCATGAAAATATTCCACTGCACTCAAAAGCCATCGAAGGGAGAGACCTCCATAGCGATTTGGTTCAATTTTTATTTATTTCGCTAACCAGGTTTGGTGTTTTAGTTAGATTAGAACGCCATATAAGTTTGGAATCGTTATCATTTGGGCTTCCTTTTAACATATTAATCATGTATATCTCCCACTGCACTCAAAAGTTTCGAACCATTTTGATCTAAACCAATTTACGCAATTTTTGTGATGAGATATTGAAACTCAGTTAATAATATTTCTTGGGTTATTTTCGAATATGTTGAAAAAAAAAGTAATTTTAGAAGTTCTCAATTTCGGAAGGGAGTTTAGAACTTGACTTTAGGACTTTGATAAAAATGTACTCGAATAATTTGAAACGGTCGTGTTTGCGTTGCTAACGGGTTACACACGTACGGCCACGCAAACATAGGAGATGGTGCGCGAAGTGTCCCGAATGTTTATCTACACTTTCGGTAATAGAAAACGGCGTTCGGCGTGTTGTCGAACTTGAGTGTCCGAACGGAAGAATTCCGTTTCGCTAACACAATTACCTATCCTTCGACTTTATTCTGCGTGTAGACAACCAAAGTGGTACCATCCCACGGCTGGCCTTCTCCTGCCGGATCAAAAGGAATAGGAGTGACAAAGGCGCACGTACGGACCCGAAGAAACTTCTACAAGTTACAGTGATTCGCTAACTTCATTACCGACAATTCCCGATCATCAGTCATCAATTGGAAAGCAACATTCGTTCTAGAAAGAAAATTACTTGAAAAACCTATCCATTAACAATCGAATTTATAACTTTTTGAATAGTTTGTTTTTGGTCTGACAAGGAAATGGTAACAATTATTCTTTCTCTTACTCGAAGTTTCGTTTTGGTAGACTAAAAATAGCGTATGGATTTACTCGTCTCGAAATTATAACGCGCTTAAACTTGCTCGCATAGTTAGTCACCGCAAGTTGAAACTTCGGGGATGACTTGTAAGTTATTCAATTTGGAAATTTACGTAGCTTATACGTTATTATTCCGTTTTCGTGGCACGAGCCATACATACAAATTAGTTTGAACTCGAGTCCGTTCGACGAAGCGCCATTTTTCACCCCTTTTCTAAATAGTGCATTAGTACAAATGGGCCGGGTTTTTTCTATATCGGCTCTAAAGTGGGGTTTCATTAATTTGTGCCCGTTGTGTAACGGGCGACAATCGTTCGGGGGGTGCGTTGATGGCCGAAAGATCGGGGGTAGGGTTCTAATTTGCGCTTCATTCAAAACGGGCGCACTATGGAACCGAAGTTTAGAAGGCAGCGAACAAAAAGGACCCTGATTTATGCTAGCCAGTGAGGGAAGCCCTTTCGCCGCCGGACAGGTAAGCGCTTGTATAACGCGATATATTTCATTTTGAATAAACGCATCTCTGGCAATGAAGAGACGTATTTAACGCCCAACGTGCCGTCCCCTCTAATTAGCTTCCCCGATTAAAAACGAAAATAGAGAAGGAACGGAATATACGTTTCCGACCTGTCCACCGCAAACTTTGTCGGTAAACAATTCAATCCTCCGAAAAACTCACCGACCCTCTCTGTTTTTATTTTTTTTTTTACTAAAATCGAATATATTTTCTTTATTACACTCATTTACACCTACACACTTCTGTAATGATAAAAAAGATAGTACTTATATTTGTCTTTTTTTGTTGCAGTTGGAGCGTCGGGTTACGAACCCGATTTCTTATACCCGTTGGAGAACATCACTGTGGCTCAAGGTCGTGACGCGACTTTCACGTGCGTTGTGAACAATTTGGGGGGATACAGGGTGAGTGGGGATCCAGCGACAGCGCGGGTGTGTATCCAACATGTTATTTCTGCGTGCAATGTGCACCAGTACGGATCCGCATCCAGCTCCCGATGGAGAAAAACCATGAGGATGCGAGGATGCGGATCCGTCGTTGCCGAACGCACGAGCACCTCTGCACCTGCACAGGCACCGATGGCATTTTGGTACAATGGCACAGTTCTGCACATAGCACCCCTGCACCCCTAACATCCAGCGCACCAATAGACGTTGACGCGCGTCAGTCGACCTGACGGACGGGCACTCTTTTTTATTTATTTTTGTTTTTTTGAAAAGCGAAAACACCCCGTCCCGAATTGTATTGTGCTAATGTCGAGGCGTGATTGTTACCCTGTCAGGATTAGGATCGCCGCATAAAATATTTATTTGTGTAAATGACGGTGGATGTCAAATCCCGTCGCGTTCACAAATAGTTTAAAGTCGCTTCATGTTTTAGCGGTGATTTTTCAACTACTAACGGTCCCGGGTAGTTTAAACAATGAACCTAGGATTAAATCAGATCAATTTGCAGACGATGCGCGGGGTTACCCCCCACGGTTTAGATCCCCCTTAACTGGCGTTAATGCCGACATTTGTCCGAGGGCATTGTTACTCGCCTCTTCCGTAGAGGTCACATAATCCTTCTGTTTCAACAATATGCAATTGTATGTGTGACACAATGGGTCGCCTTGAATTTAGCCCGATCCCTTTCTCCTCAACGGTCGAGCCACTTATAATTTCGATTCACTTTTACCGGGACCGCGACGTGTAATAGAATTTGATGTTATCGCAAACACGGGCCTGCCGCTGACGTGCGCCACTGACTCGTGTACCAGGACATCCGAAGGCAGTAGCCTTCATATGCAAAACTGAATAGCAGTTTATTCACCTTCTTCGACGTCGACGCGATCTCCACTTTGCCCGCCCTTACCAGAAAATACTTATCTATAATATACCTGTTAAGCTCTCATCTTCTTATCCCCACGTTTCGTAATAAATACTAACTGCCTATCATTGTGTTTTATAGAAAATCTTTACAAAATTGATCCCCTCAAAAATTATTTTCGTTATTATACTAAATACAAAAAGATCACTTTAACTGTATTATCTAGTAGTATTTTGATTTGATTTTTGTCGATACAATTTACCGGTAATTGCATCAAACCAATTTTAAGACACATCAATAATTCCCTCTGTGCACAATCCCGTTACGGGAACGCAACGCCCAGAAGTGAAATTATCACTAAATTGCTGTTTGTGTGCGCATAACGTATTGACGATTGGCCGCGTTGATTAACAATCAGTTATTCCATTTGGTATTAACAGATGGCCGCGATGTAGCTTGCACGATTATTGCACGATTCGTTGAGTGACGTAGTTACGTCTAGTAGTAGCATAGGCACAAGCGTTTCGTTTTGTCAGGTGGCTTGGATAAAAGCGGACACGAAAGCCATCTTGGCGATACACGAGCATGTCATCACGAATAATGCCCGGCTCACCGTCACCCATAACGATTTCAACACGTGGACGTTGAACATTAGAAGTGTTCGACGCGAAGATAGAGGACAATATATGTGCCAAGTTAATACAGATCCCATGAAGATGCAGGTATGCACCAACAAAAATAAGACATGATAAATTCTAATACATTTTTTTTAATGTTATTACACAGACCGCATATTTGGAAGTTGTTATTCCTCCTGATATCATTAACGAGGAAACATCTGGTGATTTAATGGTACCAGAAGGTGGTTCTGCAAAACTGGTATGTAAAGCTAGAGGATATCCAAAACCGCGTATTATCTGGAAGAGGGAAGATGGTGGTCCTATTGTGTCGCGTGGACCCGCATCTACCTCCAAGACCAAACCGGATAGAGTGACTATGATTGATGGGGAAGTGTTGACGTTGACCAAGATTACCAGATCGGAGATGGGGACGTATCTTTGCATTGCAGCGAATGGTGTTCCGCCGACTGTTAGCAAGAGAATGAATCTCCACGTGCACTGTAAGTAAAATTAAAGGAATTAATGACGGTGAAAATATGGAATGGTGCGAAAGAGTATTTAGCGCGGTTGTAACTCGTAGTGAAGTAAGTTCTCGTTTCGGCGCGCAGATGGCGAATTTCAACTTTCGGTGGCGGTGGTGTTTTATTATAGCCGTATTGTTTTTCGCTATAAATTTGCTGCGTAATAAGCGAAATACCACTAAATTAGTAGGATTTTTTTTTGTATTAAATAAATTTAAGTAGTAACTAAATTTTATTAATTACTATGTACATTAAGTAGACTAGTCGAGGTATTTATTAATAAATTTGAAATAGCAGAGAAACTTTATACCCACAAGCTCATACATTTATTTAATGTAATACATAAATTACGGTGATGTGTGGAAGCTGTTGGTCACCGAGTGTCAGGGGTAGTACTAGAATACGGGGAATGATGGCGCACGTCGGCGTATTTATAGCTGCGTCTATAATCAGACAGTATTGTATACTTATGTACGTCCATTACGCCAGAGGGCTGCTCGGCGTTCACCATCGCATCCATATTCATACCGGTTTTAAAACAATTGTTTCACCCTTTCCGCCGTTTTCGAATATGGTACGCATTGTGTACCAAACGCGCTTTAAGCAACTCCCCGAACGGTCGCGTCCGAGCACATTATTAGATCATGTCTCGCAAAAAGCGTTGCGCAAAAAAAAAGAAAAAAAATCCAAACGTACGCCCTTTTCAAAACACAATCTTGCTCATTTGCCCCCCAATCAATAACACATTCACCGCCATCGCGAAAAGATAAACAATACGTCAAATGAGGATCCGTCTGCTTCGCGTATTCAATGCCGTTACATTTACACGTACGGTGTTTGTATAGAATATTTACTTCTGGTTCCCACTTATGTCTATTGGATTTAGTTCGCCACTGCCCGAGCTCCTACCGCATTATCAACGCGCCCTGTGGATTTATATGGGCCGGATCCAAATTATACCGCACAGCGCCAACCCCACTTTTACGCGCATTCCAAATATCCACAGAGCTTTAATCACGATTTACCATTACAATTTTCGTTTTACCATTCTGTTCATTAATTTAACTATATTTGAACACAACACCAACAAAAAAATTATTCGCAAACAACTTTATTAACGATCCTTTTTAAAACAACACCTACTTTAACAATTATCATTGTTGAAAATTGTTGATGTTAAAATCAGTTGTTGCTAAAATCAATGAAAACTAGTTATTGCATTTAGCATGGTTATTTAATAGACAGACCTCGTGTATCAATTTTAGGAATAATGTGCAATAATTCGAATAATGGTTGTAATTGCGTAGTATTAATCTCATCCGTTCCTATAACATTAGATTTAATTAATTGATTTAATAAATTTTCATCATTTTTCCTTTCATCCTCTTCGTATTGACAGATTTACAAATATCGATTAAATTAAAGTTTACGTATTTTGAAGTTTTAAAGTTTACAACTTAAATCTATCCAAGACTAGATGGCGACGTCACTTTAAAAAATAGTATCTCAAGAATCGTAAAAGACATACATCCGTCGACAATCAAGTGGTGTATAGCCATGTTGAAAAGTCGGCAGATCACAGCCGGTCTGGGAGGCGAGTCGCTGACTATAAAGGCGCTAAGAGGATGTCCCCTATCACCTCTATTATGGTGCCTGGTAGTTGATGACTTGATGAACACCCTAACTAAAAACGGATTTAAGATACAAGGGTATGCTGATGACCAGGTAATCACAATCCGAGGTAAATATGATTCAATCATAACTCAGCTAATGCAGAAAGCCCTACTACTCGCCAGTACTTGGTGCAGAAGCAATGGGCTCAGCATCAATCCCAATAAAATCGAAATAGTCCCTTTCACTCGGAGAAGGAAGCTACAAATAAAAGCACCCTCCATTGAAAGTAGAACTATTAACCTCAAAACAGAAACTAAATACCTAGGGGTAATACTTGACAGTAAATTAAACTGGAACTCACACTTAGATAAGGTGAGGAAAAAGGCCATCATGGCAAACCAGATCTGCCGCAGGCTCCTAGGAAGGAACTGGGGTCTCAAACCACGAATGGCTCATTGGGCCTACGTAGCAATAATCAGACCCATGGTCGCCTACGCCTCATTGGTTTGGTGGCCAAAAACAAAACATAAGACAGCTCAACAACAGCTGGCACAAATCCAGCGGTTAGCATGTCTTAACATAACGGGTGCAATGAGATCCTGTCCGACGGCTGCTTTGGAAGCCCTACTTGGTCTCACACCGCTCCACATATATATACAAAAGGAGGCAGCCTTAAGTGCCTTATCACTGAAAACAGTTTCTTCACTCAAGTTGATGCAGGGTAATCTCAGAGGACACCTCGAGATCCTCAAAGACCCATGTCTAAATCACCTGATTGAAATTAAAACGGACCTTATACCGACGGAATACAATTTCAACCAACCGTATAAGGTCATATTTAGTAGCAGGGATGATTGGGC